TCTCACCCTCTGTGGGTGATCTCATCCTTCCACCGCTCGAGTCCTCTACCAGAGCCCTGGGAGCATGAGGGTTCTGCAGTATCTTAGCTGTTCCTATAGAACTGCATTTTTCTGGACTGAGATGTCTGATGTTTTTTATTGAAAATGCTTTAGTCACTCCTCCAGTTTGGGAGTTACTGCCCTGATGACCACAGGCACCACCGATATCTTCACTCTCCAGGCTTTCTTAAGTTCTTCTTTGAGGCCCTGGTACTTCTCTAGATTCTCATGTTTCTTTTTCCTGATTTTGCCATCACTTAGTATTGCGACATCAACCACAACGGCTGTCCTCTGTTGTTTGTCCACCACCACAATGTCCGGTTGGTTCACCGTCACCATTTTGTCAGTCTGAATCTGGAAGTCCCACAGGAGCTTGGCTCTCTCATTCTCAACCACTTTAGGGGGGGTTTCCCACTTTGACCTTGGTGCTTCTAGCCCATACTCTGCACAAATGTTTCTGTACATGATGCCAGACACTTGGTTGTGGCATTCCATGGTTTCCCTGCCAGCATTTTACACCCTGCTGTTAGGTGGTGGATTGTCTCAGGGGCCTCTTTGCATAGCCTACACACCTTGGGTCTTGTCTGCTGTGGTAGATCTTGGCCACTGCTGCTCTGGTGTTCAGGGCCTGTTCCTGTGCAGCGATGGTGAGTGCCTCTGTGCTATCCTTCAGACCAGCTCTTTCTAGCCATTGGTAGGATTTTTTGATATCAGCCACTTCAATTATCTGTCGGTGATACATCCCATGTAAGGAGTTTCCTCCCACAATGGTGTTTCCAGCACCTCTTCTGTTCGCCATTGTCTGAGACATTCACTGAGCACGTCATCTGTTGGGGCCTTGTCCTTGATGTACATATGGATCTTGGATGTTTCATTCTGGACAGTGGCTCTCACACTCACTAGTCATTTGCGTCCTTCCTTACAGCTACTGTACAGTCTCAAGGTGCTGGATTTGGGATGGGACGCTCCATGCATAGTTAGGAGCTTCCTTGTCTTAACATCTGCGATCTGTATTTCTTCCTTTGGCCAGTTTATTATTCTTGCAGGATATGTGATTACTGGCAGGGTTTAGCTGTTAATTGCCCAGATCTTGTTTTTGCCATTGAGCTGACTTCTTAGGACTTGCCTTACTCTTGTAGGTATTTGGCTTAGGCTCCTTTTCTTGCGGCTTCATCAAGGTTGCCATTTGCTTGTGGGATACCAAGGTACTTGTAGCTGTCCTCGGTGTCTTCTATTGTACCTTCTGGGAGTGAGACCCCTTCTGTGTGGATTGCCTTCCCTTTCTTCACACTTCTCAAGTCCAAATGACATTCCGATATCAGTGCTGTAGATGCTGGTGGTATGGATCAGTAAGTCAATGTCTCGCTCATTCTTGGCATACACCTTTATGTAATCCATGTGGAATAGGTGGCTGATTGTGGTAGGGCTGTCACGGTAACCGCAAAAATGAAATATTGCAATATGAAGAAACCCACCGCGCTGCATCATGCGCCACCGTGATTACTGAACTTGATTCAACTCAATGATGCATGTTGAGAAGGATGGCTGCACTGGTATCAAAACGAAACGTTACTTCGCTTCTTTGGGAGTACTTTGGTTTTCAGTACGTCAGCTGCTGCGCAGCCAGAGTCCTTGGCCGAGACAGAGCTGCCACCAGCGGCAAAAAAAAATAAATAAATAAACGCTCGGAGACCTGCTGAAGTCCCGGACAAGCACTGCTTCTGCAACCGTCCCGAAGAGAGTTTGAGCCGTGCTGGGGCTCACTCGCTACCTGCAGGAGGAATGCATCCACCCTAAAGAAACCCCCCTGACATGGTGGAGCAACAACCAGGAGAGATTCCCTTTGCTCGCCAGTCGCACGCAAGTACGTGTGCGTTAGTGCAACGAGCGCACCATCCAAAAGGGTTTTCAGTGTTGCTGGAAATGTTGCAGGTTAAAAGTTTAACCTTCTCCTGAATTTTGTTGTTTTTAAGTTCAGTCGGACTCCGACTGTTGGAGAAACAAACGTTACTGCGATCTGTGTTGTTACTGCCCTTTGATCTGCATTCAGTAAAGTGTTATAAAAGAATGCATGGCAATTTTTAACCTTTTTTAAATGTGCAAACATTATGTTTAGATAGTACTGCAATAAAAATAAAAGTGCTGCAATAATATCGCACACCGCAATATTAAGCCACCCTGAATCACCGCAGGGGGAATTCCTCAACTGCGACAGCCCCAGATTGTGGTTCCATTCTTGAGTCGGTATCCATAGCTAGTCTTGTTGATTATTTGGCTGAGGGGGTTTAAACCTATGCAGAACAGCAGTGGACAGGCGTCTCCTTGGTATATTCCAAATTTGATGGAGACTTGTGCAATTGGCCTCAAGGGTGATTTTCCACAGCCCCACTGAGTTTTCATTGAAGGCTCTCAGAGTCCTGTTAATGTTGTACAGCTCCAAGCATTCAATGATCCATGAGTGCAGCATTGAATCATAGGCTTTCTTGTGATCAATCCAGGCCATGCCCATGGTGTGTTGGGCCTTACAGGCTTGGGTGACTGGTCTATCAGCAGCTGGTGTTTGGCTCTTCTGGTATCTCTGCCGACATATTGAAACAATCATATATGTATAAAATTGTTTCAATTTCCATATTTTGAGATGTAAACTGGTGTTAAAATCTCTGGAGAGACTACTAATCCCTTAAGTGTCAAAAATCCAGGATCTTACCACTGTAACGTGAGGAAATATGGGTTTTCTGTCACAAAGCTGGTGTTTGACCCAACTGGGTCGCTCAGAACTTTAACACACAGATTGGGACCTTTGCAGACATGAAGTCTGCGAGAGTCTGGAAGCAGCCATAACATCAGCCACCTGCAGCGTCCAGAAGACGTGTTTCCATGAGTTGTACCCAGAACAAGTCAAAACATAAAGTTTAAACTTCCTTTTCTTGTTTTGAATGTTAAAAGTTTAATCATCAATTTGCTCATTATAAATGTGTTTTAATCAAATGAATGACTATTATGCTTTGGGTAATTATAAGAGATTTAATTAATCCATTCTTAATTAAATGTTAATGTTGAGAATGTTTGGTAACGACCTTCACACTCCTGCTTCTTCACACACCCAAACACGCCCACGCATATCTGCTCACAGTAAACTCCAAAACACATTTGCTGACGCACACGTTTTGCTTTGAGAGGAGAAAGGCTTTTGGTAAGTTTCAGTCTTATGATATCAGTTCGTGCTTGACAACGAAAGAGAGAGGACCTGAATAAACGCTGAAAGGGGGGAGCCGGTTGGCTCATCCCCCCCCCCCCCCCCCCCCTCTCACGCTGTTCCTGCCAAGCCAGGCAGAATAGCTGAATCGCAACTTCTAACGCGGACTCATTACCGAGTCCTTTGATTTCTGAGTGAATTAACTTAAGAAAGCGCATCGACAAAACGCTTTACCATCAACGTGTACCGAGGGCAACTCTGGACCGGTTCCGTTCGACACCTATGTCTCCCCTGTCAGCCGCTGGTGTCATCTGGATGAACCACCACCATCCTCCACGGCCCGGATCCGAAAGAGGGTCCACAAGAGTTCGGTGAGACAGAGCACGGTGTTTAGCGTTTGATGCAGTTCTCTGATAAGACCTAAGTTTATCCAAACCATCACTTCACTCAGACACCTGTTCTTCCTGAAGCAAAATCAGACTCACACACGCATTCATGTCACAACATTCTCAATCTTCATAAATTCACCACAAGGTCTATTTGATCATATCAACTGTTAAAGATTGTCCCACAAGTTGCCAATGTTGATTGTTATTTCCTGTTTGTCAATTTCAAAATCATTAGTTTAATTTGAAGAATTAAAACTTTTAATTGTCAAACTGGTTTCCTCATTGAAATGAAACACAGACACACAGATATTATCATCAGTTTATCGATGAAAACAACCTTTGAGTCTTCTTAACAATATAAAATTTGGTTATTGATTTATTAAAAAATAATATTCCGAATTAATACGTAGCATGGTTCCTCTTTCATAAAAGAGCATAAAACCACAACGCTACAAGATAACTGAGCCAAGCCAGTTTCTCCCACACCACAAAGGAGGTCAAGGCTGCAATGTAATATATATTCTGTGTCCGCTGACTACCTGGATAAAGGCCTTTCAACAAGCCACCTGTGTAGAAAAGCAGACGCCAGAATCCCATCTGTCAATGTTGTTGTTTTGGCTCAAATGTTCTAGAAGCTGAAAGGCATTATGTGAGATTGTAATGCTGTAGGAATAAACTCGGCAGTCAGCCAAGTGCTAATACCTTAAGGGTGCACTCACACACGAAGAGCTGGGATTTGCGAAGGATTTGCTTTGTATTAACCCTGACAGGAGAGCTAGGAGCCAGCTAGAGCAAGAGGGGAGAAGCAAAACAGCCGTGAAGAAATTCGGGAAAATTTTAGGATTTTGCAATAAACCAATCTGCAACAAACATATGCAGATGTGCTGTTGAAGTATAATTGATGTTATGGTGCCTTCAAAGTCTTAAGAGCTTTACAAGGTGTCAGTCTGAGAAAATTCCGGTACGGGAACTTCAGAGACGGCAGGACGGAGCGAAATGGGGCACCCTAATGTGCCTCTCTCTTATAAACAAGCTCGTGCTCACAGGGATAAACACATTACCAATCGACTGCAGCCCTACACACCAAACGGTAAGTGCAACAATGCGTTTCTGCTAAACTAACGTGTTTCACCCTAATTCTAGATTTATAACCCATACGTTCTATATTGATGCTTCACATTCAGATGGTTGTGGATGTGTAATGAGATTTTAGTGAGATTTACGTTTAATAACAAAAGCATTCTCATTGGGAACCTTGGGAGTTTTAGACATGTCTCACTGGTTTGCTTTAGTGTCTAATGCTTTGGAGAGCAAAATGTTTCTAACAAGTGGAATATACTGCATAAAGGAAAGTCTCAGAACTTCAGGCTTTGGTAATCAGATAAATTAACAAATTAGGAGCATGCTTTAGTAAACTGTTTATTAATTTTATTCCATTAAAGTATATCAGTAATTTTATTGTTAGCATTATGAAACTTCATTTTTTCTGCTGATTTAAATAAAAAAATTGCATAAAAAATAAAATTTCTAAACGTTTTGGACTATGAAAGGCTGTAGGATTTTTATTTAGATACCCAGTACCCTGTCTTGATTCAGGAAGCAAACCTCAGCTGGAACTGGTTATATACCTAAAACGTCCATACATAATCCATACAATATTTACATTTGTTTTACTTGTAACTGATTTTGTGTCTTCCTTTATGCAACTTTTTGAGTTTCATTAGAAAACCTGAACAATGCACTTGGTGCTATCAGAGTTCTGGGTGTGGAGCTGATTGAAGATGAACTGAAACCTCATCTGAACACAGTTCTTGCAAACATAAAGGAGAGAAGTGAGTCATTTTGATTCCACTCAAACCATTTCAGAGGAAATTTGTTCTTTGTTATTCCTCAAACAACTTGGTAGCATAGCTGAAATTGGTGCTTTTATGGACATTATAATATAAAAGTACTGTTATCTTTATGTCTCTGCCTGCATTTCAAACAGTTTTACTTCAATGTACATCTTACTCTTTGAAACAGTTAATCTGAACAACAAAGTCCGTTATTAAACCAGATCAGTTAGTTTCTGATTCGTATGGTGTTGGGCTGTATGTATGTCTCCCAGGATGAAAAGCAGCAGAGATGAAGAGTCTGAGGTTATGTTTACTGTAACAGAGCCAGCCACTGATTGATCAACACTGAATACAGTCTAATCCGACTCCTTAGAGTAAATGATTGCCACAGAAGCATCAGTCAGATCATGAATGTTGTGTTTTTGTATGTGTCCAGAGAAAGGCACATCTGAGCAGGTGGTGATCAGCGGGATCCTGCCAATCCTCGCCCTGTCTTTGAGGAACAGAGGGCCTCTATCACTGCTGACTGCAAAACTAGTGGCTGAGCTCGCCAAAGAATGTAGGCCATTCACACAGACCCCATTTATTATTAATTACTGCTCCCATCATCGAATGAATCTGAGCTGCAAACAAACATTTTATGGGGTGAACTGCAACTTAAAAACATTTTCACTGAAGTTTCCTTTCCTCAGCCGTGGTTCGTAAGGGTTTTGGTGATGCCGGTTTGGTTACGGCTCTGCTGTCCGTTCTGACCTGTACAAATGAAGAGCTGCTCATTTATGCTGTGATAGCCATCTCACGCATGTCGTATGACAGCTGTAAGTCATGAGCCACGTTAAAATCACCAAGTGTTCATTGTTCTTTAGGTTTAATGTAATATCAAATCAATCTCACACAAAACTGTTCTCACTAATTTATGTGGTTATTTTAACAGCAGTTGCCATCAAGACTAAATCAGTCATGTAAATTGATTCTCTGTTTTCCTTTAAAAATCCAGTGAAATGTCTGAACATTGAAGACCAGAGTAAAAACGATTATAAACATCTTTCTTCTCTTTCTAAGCTAAGCAGCAGGAGCTGTTACTACAGAGAGGTGCAGTTCCCCGTCTTGTAGCCATCCTGCTTCGACTTCCCCATAAAGAGGCCCTGGAGGAGGTGTGCCTGCTGGCCCTCTGTAACCTCAGTGGGATGGGAGTGGCCGAAGAGGCCGGGATGATCTGGGAGAGGGGAGTGTCCTTGAGGCCTGGGGAGTGCGTGTTTCATGGCGTCTCACCTCACACCTGTGGTTTTGCCTCCTCTGTGACCTTGGTTCGTGTCTCTCAGTGGGGACCGGGTCAGTATGCGGTCAGCATCGAGGACTTCCAGCGCTGCTCCTCTTCTTTCTGGAACTCACACGGGAACAAACGGGCCCAGCACTGGTTCCCATTCTTCAGTTTGGGTAGCTGTTCAAATATGCTCAAGGTAATCAAGTTCTCCACGAGGAATGTTCCCCGGACAAAAAGTCTAAAAACTCGTGTGTTTCATACGTTCCTGTGACATCTCAAGCACGGGAAACATGGTGGCCTAAACTAATCACACTGGATATCAGAGCTGGGACTGACACCACAACCAGTTTGACTGTACTAGTAGAAAACAGATTCACTGGATTTGTGCACTGGTTAACTGGTTACCTTTGAACTACAAGGTAGAAAATACACCTTTTTGATTTTTTACATAAATATATTTGCAAAAGTGATTTTTTTTCTTTAAAGAACAGCTACAGAGTTTTTCAGAGTGTGTGGTTTTATAGATCATGTTAATACCTGCAGATACCTGTCAGAAAAAAACTGCTCTAAGGGAAATTACCAACTAACTAAGTTTTATTTTGAGTAAATTAATAGCAGCTTTGACCTGATTTATACTTTAAAGGTGGACATGCTTCTCTTCCTGTTTACGGTAACCCAAATCAGTTATTTTTAGATAATTGGAAAGAAATCTGAACAAGTAAAAATCATAGTGAGTTTAATATTTGTATAGTATTGTTTTTTTTTTATTTCAAATGGGGGGGGCTTACACACCACAGAACAACTAAATAATAAAATAAAACTGCTGCTTATTTCTTCACAAGTGCTTAAAATATTAAGTATTTATTTTATTCTCTGCCATTTTCAGGATTTATTCATTTTGTGAATGTAGCCAAAATCTATTTCTTTTCTCATTTTAATCATAATTGTGTATTTGTCTCATACTGTAATACAATACTTTATATACATTTTTGGCTTGTCTGTATTTTCACATAAAACTATAATTTCTATAATAGAACACCATTGTGGCTCACAAATAAACACATTTTTTCTGGAACTATCATGTGAATTTTATGAGGTTAATCTGTTAATCACTTTGCGCAAATATTGATGTAAATGACTACCTTTCTTTTATAAAGTCCACACAGACAATTTGTATATAAATCTAAAGCCTTTGCCCGGGGTGATGGGCTCCAAAATAGGACAGAGAAAGGTCAGATGAGATGCCTGTAGCTCCTGTAGCATTTGGCTGCTTGTTTTCTCCATTTGACTTTAACAAGAAGAAGATTTATTGTACAAAACCATCTCAGAAACTCCAATTATAAAAAGGATCCTCTCCTGATATGACCCTTTACAGGGTTAATGAAATACCAGAGCCCACTATCTTCTGTTGCCAGAAAACGACATTTGCAACTTCAAAGCGCCGGTATGGTCTGTTGGACTTAGAAAAAAATAGAGCTGACATACCTGGTGCTGCAGTATGGTTCCAGTATGGTTCCTGCGTGTTTTAGATTATGAACACAACTCATTTGTTTAATTTGGCAATTAAACACCCATGTAGACAATAATGAGGGCTGGAGAGACATTTCAGCTGTTAGATTAAGGTGTTAAAAAGACAAACACACAGAAAAGATAGATTTTGCTTTCAGTTCTACAAAAGGACATTAGGGAGTGCTAAAAGCAAGCCAAAACTGCCTAGTTCCCCTTTAAATGCATCAGATAAAATATGAGCTGACAGCAGCAATTTATTAATTAGATTAATCCATTAATAATCACAAACTTCCTACAACTCCAACCCTCAAAACTGGTATATGCAGAGACTGCGCAGGGGATCTACCTGTTACCTTTCTGCATGAAGTTTGGAACTGCACACGCATTAATATATTTGGGAAGGGGCCGTGTGAGAACCACAAGCTGTACCATCCCTATCTTCCCCTCACTCTGCCTGCTTGGTCACAAACATTAACCTTGAGACAAATTCTCACCTACTCTTCACGGCATCCCCAAGATAACTGTTTGTTTACACAACGGGGGCAGGGCTTAAAACCCATGCTGAAATCAGCCACTAGAGGGCACTTTGGTTTCTTTTAGCTTCAGCTTTTGTGTTTGAACGTCAACTTCACTGAAAATACATTTTTAATGATTAATTCTGGTTATAAAGGATTTGAAAATCCTGACAGATCTACATCACACTGACACCTAACATTCATGAAGTCACCCATCTGGACTCATGAAGGGGAAGGCTGTTGTTGGTTTAAGGTCCATGAAACAGCAGAGAATGTCTCAGCTATTAGAAGCTAATCATTAGCATTAGCAGCTCCACCACAAAGCAGAACTCCTTCAGGCATGTTATTTGTGGGGATAAAAAAATCTTTCTTCTTGTGCTGATCTGCAACAGCCATGAAAGTCAAGAAACAAGAGTGAGAAAGTGTCTTTGTTTAGAAAAATGGACTGCAGTACCCACAAGATGTCATTCTTACTCCATTCAGGCTTTGTTATTGTCATGGTTTGAGGTGAGTGGTCTCCTACTCTAGAAACCTTTGAGTGCTTAATTGCAGGTGGGTAATGCTGAGGAGCGGGCTCAGCTGCTGCTGATCTATCATCAACCGGTCTGGCTACAAGAGGAGCAGGGAGACGACAGCACGTCATCGAATGATTACTCATCTTTGGTATCTCTGGCCTGAAAACTTGAGCCTGAACTCTTGTTATTATTTCCAGCCTGCTCCTGTTTCCAGGTGCTCCCACCACCACCAAGTCTCCAGCCACAATTCCTGGGGCACATCTCCCCAGCTTCTCCAGACCGACCTACTCTCCGTTGTTCACTGAACCCGGATCTCTCCATTAGTGACCCTCCAGTGCTTTGTGACTGCTTGAACCTGGTCACTGCCTCAGATCTGACCTCCCCTCTCACAAGCTTGATACCTCCTCCTGAATTGTAAGCTCTCAGCTCCTTACACTATGATTCTATCAGCTCCCACAGTGATTGGTCTCTGCTTAAAGACCCGGTGGACGTCCTGACATCCCTCACCTCTTTTTATGGTGCACCTTCAGTTGTCACATTTTACTAAAATATTGTTTCTTACTTACCGTGGCTTTGTGATTGGTTCTGTATGTCCTGGGTCAGGAGTCTCAACCCGTACATGACAGTTATTTGTGGAGACAAATCATCGTTGCAAAGCAAACAGAGTCAATGGTAGAGTTTTTTTTTCCTGCTGTTAGCCAATCTGAGGCAAGATATGCAAATACCAGGAAATAAAACTCCAAACTCTGCTGTGCTCCGTGACTACCTCCTCCAGCTGACTTGTTCATCCTGAAACGGGCACATCTGAGCTTTTTTCTCCAATGTATCCCTTACAAGGCATTCATTTCTATTATAGACCACTGCAAATGTATTAAAATATGAGAAAAGTTGACATTTAATCTTTTACAAGGTAATCACATCCAGGTTTTTTTTTTCTGGAGTTAGGAGAAAATCTGTCTAAGAATGTTTTCAAACAACCAGTACACTTTAGCTTTGCACTTCAAGACTTAAATTAAAATACTTATCAAGAAAGACTTGTGGCGCCAGCCGCTAAAAGAATGTAGCAGTTGTATATGACATTGATACACCAACCAATCACAGATTAAAACACCACAACATTTCTCTGAATCATTCACTTCCTCTTCTCCTTTTTGCCACTGTTAAAGTTTTCCTCACATTTGAAGAAAACTGAGGCTCGATCACATTAGGGATTTCAAACACAGTGTTTGAATATTACCAGCTTCATTATGTCTACTTTAATATGCAAATCTGATCTCATTTTTTTGTTTCAGATGTCAGAAGGGAGCAGCAATGACGCCACTCACAACCAGGCACATGATTAAAGCTGACCACTAGATGGCAGACATGCACCTTATAGAAACACATTTTCTTCTGCAAATTAAGTAAATAGGATTTGTAAAGTCCATTTGTAGTTTTGCACATGAACAGTCTGCACACACACTAAATTTATTTCTGACAAACTACATGTCTGTACTTCTCAGTGATCCGATATATTGACAGAGTTTTATTTGGTATGGTTCTAACTAAATCAACTCACTGTGGTGGCGTCTAAAGCCTTTTCCTCTTTGTTGTAAACATGTTAAGAGCAAACAGCAGCACAAAAATGAAGCACAAACGTACGGTCCATCTCAGTCTCTCTCTCTCACTCTTCATCTAATTACTCCTCTTATTGGTTCTATCCTGCCTCGGGCGTCCAAAAGCAGGGCCACGTCCTCTAATCAATCCTAACTTTATTGGTCTGGGAACCACTTAAATATTTGATGTAGGATGAGATGAAGCTTTAGAATTATTTACAGGTAGACAGGAGGCACCCATGCTTTTTCACGGCCAGCTTGACTCTCTGACATGTAACTGATGCATGGTTTCAGCTACAGGAACAACCAGGGATCTCTATGGGTTATTATTGATCAGTTCAAATCTTAATCAGATTAAAATACATGACAGAAAAAAATTCTGAAAAATAAAGATAAAAGATGTACAAACTTTTTTTTGCGTTTGTTTTTTGGGAACTGATCGTTAATAAGAAAGAAAAGGTCAGGTTGGTAAAGATTTTGTTCACTGGTGGGAGATTTTATGCAGGCAGTCAGTCATCTGGACTTTTGATAAAAGGATGTTGGCTAGTAGCCCAAAACACTTTAGATAAAGATTAGATTAAAGGTAAAAGCAAATATATGTATGGATTTTTCCTCCTAAACATTTGATTTGAGGACTGTATGAAAAAACGTGAGAGGAATGGGAAATTCTGTGAAGAAAAAAGACAAACTCTTGCTTTTTGTGTTTGGTCTTGATGAGTGTGGCTAAGAGGCACAGCGTTGGAGTTGTTACATTTTTGGTATTAAATAATAGCTCTTAAGATTTTTTTAAAACAAAACTATTAAAGAGTATTTTACACTTTCTCTTTTCACATCCCTATTTTGTTGCGTTGGTTACATTAAGTGATGGGTGCTGAAACTACAGCTGCTGTCCCATCCATCCAGTCCACAGTGTGTTTACCTCTCACACCTGTACAGACACAGACAGATTGAAGAGGGAAGTGCAGATATCCATATCCTGGTTGACATGCTCCAGTTCCTTCTAAGGCTCCCTATGGGGCTTCCAGAAAAAAGAGGATGTATAAATCCCATATAGAGTTCCTGGTCTGGCCCATAGTCTTCCACCAGTGCGATCTTCCTGGAAAACCAGGAAGCATTCTAATCAGATCCACAAAACACCACAGCTGACTACTTTCACTGAGGAGGAGAAGAAGCGCCACTCCAAACTTTCCTGTAGGATAAAACCCTCAACTTATCCCTGAGGCTGAGCCTCCTCACCCTGCAGAGGATTTCATTCGCTTGCAGCCAGGACGTCTTTCTGTTGCTCAGATCCAAATCTCATCGGTGAGAGTTTAAAATGTTGACAGACCAGTAATCTGGCTGCCAACAATGACACATCATCTGCAAAGAGCAGAACTAAAACCCAGAGGTTCCCAAAGCAGACATCTTCTCTAGTCCATGGATGCCACAAATAGGACCAGGGATGAGGGTCAAGCTGTGTGGAAATAGAAAACTTGACTTCAGGCAGAAAATGTGGAAGTAGTTTTGGTTTTGGTTCTGCAAGAACCAGATATTTCCGGTGTGAATTAGATGATGAAAAATTGTGACAAAAACGATGGAGGCACAAGACCGTTATGTGCTATGTTCTGAAAAACACGTGACATGTTGGATTTCCTAAGAATGAA